GAGCGAGCTGTTATAAGGTAGCTTTAATGGTTTTGGGAGGCTTATTGGCTGTATATCTTTGGTCTATCTCAAGTCACACCAGTTCTCTGAATGAGGCTTTTTTTAATCTAGAAGTGATGGTACCTGACGTTACGATTATACAGTAGAGGTCATTCAAGAATGCTTCAATTCTGTATATTTCTTTAGCATACCATGAAGAAAAAAAGGATTTTAGTCTTCTACAGAGATGTGATAAAAGGCATTTACTTGAAAATTCTTCATCATACCAGTTTTGTTAAACTGATGCAAGTAATTTCAGCAACTTCATGGAGGCAGCGAGTTGTAATAGATACAGATTTTAGGCCAACGGGCTCTTGTCCCGTTGGCCATAACACAGTCATTGGTCTTTGAACATCCTATGGTTGTAAAGTATTATAGGGCTTAGCTGTGATCTTGAAGGTACGTTTTGGGGTAAGACGTATTTCTATCTTTTAGATAACATCATGTGCGCAAGCTGTGTAATGGATTTCTGTCCAAATGGCTGACGTCTTTCATACTTATTATTAACAGGCCTTCGGATGCATTACATATCTTTTGAATAAATGCCATCATGTAGTATGATCTTAGCAATGTGCCACAAAGGTGGCTGTCAGTTAGAGATGTACTGGTGCCTTTCAGTACCTTTCAGGGGACCTATAAGAAAGACGGAGGCAATCTTTTTAGCAGGGCCTGTCGTGGCAAGGACGAGTAATGGTTCTAAACTAAAGGAGGGTAGGTTTAGACTAGATCTAAGGAAGACATTTTTTACAAGGAGGGTGCTGAAACACTGGCACAGGCTGCCCAGAGAGGTGGTACAAGCCCCATCCCTGGAAGCATTTAAGGTCAGGTTGGACGGGGCTCTGAGCAACCTGATCTAGTTGAAGATGTCCCTGATCATCGCAGGGGGGTTGGACTTGATGACCTTTAAAGGTCCCTTCTGACCCAAACTGTTCTATGAGTCTATGATTCCAGGAAATAACGAAATACAGGCTGTGCACCAGAGTGAGGTTCATCTGCACGTGTGTGTGTGTGTGATAAATTAGAATGCTCATGCAACACCAGGGCATGCATTGCTTTTTTTCTTGAGTAGGCTAAACCAGCCTCAATTGTTTGCTGATGTAAATTTTCCCATGCATGATGGATGGTGACTTGTCTTGGCTGTTTGTAATTTTCCTGGTGTAATTTTTAAACTATCCCCTTCTGTGTTTTATATTCCAAAGGAGTTTGTGAAAGCAACAATGAACATTTTGCATCTGTACACAGTTACTTGGCCCAGTCAGTAGGTTTTTTGGAATCCTTTATGTGGTCTTCAGTGAGTAAGCATCTCCTCCCACTGAAACTTTGCTTTTTAATATTATGAGAAGTTACTGTGTTGTTCCTTCTAGTGGGTCTTGTCTCCTATACTAAGATGTTTTTATGTATTTTTTTTTATTTCAATTGCAAAGTGTTCCCCTTATGAGCAGCTGGCATACTTAGACACAGGCAGGAATGGAGCTTCAGCATCTGACTGATTTCAGGGGTTACCTTGCAGGAGAGGATCTGATATCACAAGAGCTTGAGCAAAACCAGGGAAAGCAAATTTTTACATTGTATTTTGCAGGTTACTGAAATATTAATTATATGTTCAAATGGGTTCTTTAGCAACAACAGTAAGAGAATTGACTAATGTTGCAGTCATCGCTTTATGTGGAAGTTGGCCCACAGCCCAACCCCACAATATTAAACATCGTATTTCTTCCAGTAAAGTAATTTCTGATTGCAGTATCTGTTTTCAGCTCAAGAAGCTTAATGTGGGAGGCTTGGACTAGCTCAAAAAGGGCTATGTTTTCATAGTGTAATTGTGTCTCTTGATGCAGTTGGATATCAGAAGTCAACTATGAATTTTGAACAAAATATATAATATGGGACCTTTACAGCAGTAGTTTTGATTTGGAATATTTTAGCCCAAAAACATAAATGCAGGTGAGAAACAGATTTGGGTTTTAGACATTCTCAGAATGCTAAAATGCTTTCAAATTAGGATTTAGATTGGACTTCTGTCCACAGATAAGTGAAAATGTTAATGTTGCTAATTTTCTGGTTCCCTCTCTTTCTCAACAAATTGACTTCCATGACCCCTAAGTGTATCAATTTATTTAATACTTAATGTCTATTTTAAATACCTCTGTTAAACAAAAGATAAGCTAAAAGACAAAGGAATGAATGAATGAAAGAAGGTTCTGGGAAAATCTTTCTCTGAAATCAGTAAAAGACACAGGTTTGTAATTCTTTGAGAGCTACAGCACAAAACTACACAATAAATACATAACAGTCATAACGTAACATAACTGTCACGCTATGAATTCACATCTTGCATAATACAGAAAAATGTGGAAGGAAAGGATTACTATTGTGGACCTTCATCATTCCTAGTACTACCTAGCTGAAATGGAATGATATACTAAAAAAGGAAACAACACAAAGTTAATGGCCTGGGCTGCTTTAGGGTGAACAACTCCTATGGAAGGTCTGGTTTCAAAGTTAGCTTCAATGTAAACCAGGAAGAATTTCCAAACGTAAGAATGGGAAGACCACCTGAACATTTCTTGTGACTGAGACTTCCAGCTGCAGCCTAGAATCTCACTGCAACTTGACTTTCTTTCTGTGATGATACAACACAGGCATTTTTATGGGCAAATGAGGAAAACTGCTAGGAAAACTTCTCATTTATGAATGAATCAGCAAGGAGAGTGGGTTCAGACTCAGCCCACCTTTGAGGTTTTAGCAAGAAACAGAGATCCTCACATTTGTTTCTGCATTCAAGCTTCCCAAGAATATTTAGTTTATTCAAGTTCATTTTGAATTACGGGTTAACACACAGTGTATATTTCCTGTGATCTGTTTACATGCCTCTGTATACACAGTTGTGATGAGTAAATCTCTGCAGTGCTTTTGTCTTGTGTGAGGATGCAGTATATGAGGCCTTTCTGAAACTCTCAAATGGTAGGATTGTTAGCAGAAGCCTGGCTAACCTGTTTTCTTCTGCAATAGCATGCCATAGCCACAAACTATGCTAGTGATAAGAAAAAAAAGTCAAGACATGGTGTCAGATTCTGCATCTCATTTACTCTAGGGTGAATACAGAGCAACGGTACAGAAAACAAGACAATGTATTTAGTTTCATGCTGTTGTAACTTGGGTCGGAAACATCCCTTCAGAATGATGTTTATTTAATGATAGGATCATCTGTTGTATTTTTTTGTTGCTGTTAGATTGTGAAGTTGTAGGCCTTGCCTAGTAGGGAGTTGATATTTATATCCCATCCTCTTTGAGAACAACTTTTAAATATTTCAATACCAGGAGAGAACTTGTTTCCGGATTCACTTTCAGGCTGGAGTCAAGAAATTAAAGCAATGAGAGTTTAAAAAGAAAAGGAAAGAAGAGCCAGAAGAAAACATGTAAGCTCCAAACTTGTTCAGTTTTTGGATTTCTCACTAGGAAGCTCTTGCTGTGAAAACTGTCTCTGCCCCAATTAGTCAGTGACACCAGGCAGAGCCATAGAGCTGTCTGCATTGAGAAAGAGAGAGATGAAATAATGAGGAAGGCAATACTGGAAAAACAAATGCTGAGTTACAAAACAAAAACAAATAATGAGTTACAAATACTAACTCTCTTGCACGATTTGCTATTTTCGGTAAAATTTCTCATGTAATTGTTCTCTTTTCAAGAGACCGAGCTCCCTTCATCTTCACATCAGAGATGGAGTATTTCATCACAGAAGGTGGAAAAAACCCACAGCGTTTTCAAGAGTTTGTGGAGCTTTGTTGTCGCGCTTATAATATAGTCAGGAAACACAGCCAGTTACTCTTGAACCTGCTGGAGATGGTAAGAAGCTTGAGGATGAAACCAAAAATCTATTTCCTCTTCCCTTTTACCACTTCTCTGCTGCCTCCAGTAGCACTGTGATTTGAAAAGGTATCAGCTGCACTGCTGGAAATGTTAGTGCTGGCACTTCCTGTGCAAAGAAACTATCCAATTTCAGTATTAGTCTCTGAGAAAAGAAAAATCGAAGGTGATTGGTTTTTCTTTTTTTTTTTTTTTTTAATGCATTCTTTTTTACAAAATAGCAGAAAACTGCAAACAAGGGTGGGTACAAGTTTCACATTCAGGAATTTCACTCAGTGCTTCTTCTAGGTCTTCAAGAAACCATTTACCAATCCTGTTCATGGTTACAGTAAGACAAAGTGAACTAAATATTTTCACAGAGTGGGTGATACAACAGTACCTAGCAGCACTGTAGCTAACAATGATGCCATTAGAATGCTTTTTGCACATTTCCACACCCCCTTCTTAGGATGGCAAACACAAGAAAGAAAGAGCAGTACTCATATTGACACAGGTTTAAAAGTTCTTTTGTATAGGATTTTAAGACCTCTAGGAGTTTTTAATCCCTTAAATGTTCCTACTGATTCACGTGCTGTCGCAGATTCCATCACTGCTTTGTACTTCTTTTTACTTGTGTGTGATAAGTTAATGCTTTTCGCCTTCATGGGTAGAATAAGAATAGTAAGTTAACTAATATTTGCTAAGTTTTTTGGTTTAGATCTTAATCTAAAACTTATGTCCAGGGCCCCATGTGAAACCTAAGTGACTGGTCTGTGCATGAAAAAACTACACAACCTTATGAAAACAGAACCCCTGCTGAGGTTGGGGTACAGCCAAGAAGTTGCTCTGTAAACACTACTTTATCACCTTCAACTTCTGAAATGGGGAGGGGAGAAACAGCAAGAGTTTGCTTATCTTGTTTCTTCTTGTCTATGGATTCTCATGCAGCGATACAATGAATGATTTCCCAATATGGAGCGGAAAGCATTGCCCCAGATCTCTTAACCCTGCTTCTAAGTAGTCACAAAGGTGCAGCAAATCTGTGTTCCCATCGTAAAGCATAATTTTGCACTGAAAGCAGTGCAGAGTGCAGTTGTAGGAGACACTGTCTAAGTTAAAGAGCCTCTGGAAAACTCAGGAGCACCACTGCTCTCTCATCCACAGCCGTAATCCCTGCGTTTCTGAACAGGTTGCCTAAAGATGCATGCTGCAAATATAGCTACGTATTCTGCCCATGTCCTTGTCCCCAGTGCAGTCCCTTTTTCTGCAAGCAGCTGAGATAATGATGTTAGATTACTCTGGGATAATAGAGAGAGAGTGTTAGGAAAATGTTCCCAGCAGGAGCTCTGAAATAACTAGCTGTCTCTGCCCGGATATAGCTCAGGTTTGTCTATATTCAGGACATGCTGCATCTTCTTTTATTTCTGCTGATCTTTAAGGAAAGGTAATAATGCTGAGCTAAAAGCCAGCATACAGATATGTTTTAGTATTTGTCAATGGGCTGCCATTCAGTCAATTTTGTGGCATTTCATAATTGAAAAATAACTGGCAGCATACTCACACCCCATCATTGAGCACTTCATGTCAAAGGAAATTAAACAAATGAGACAAGCTTGCGAACACCATGTTTTTGCCAGTGATGTTTGGAAGGGTGAGTCTGGTTCTGCACTTGACATGGGCTGTTGGTCAGAAACTGTTAAGTATCAAAATGTTTTAGTTGCATGGGTCATTTCTAGAAAAGTAAATAGACTGTGAGGAAGTTCCACTTTGAGTTAATTTCCATGCAGAATATCAGATGTTATCGTGAAGGGGCAAAATAAACTAACCATTGCTTATTTGTATCAATGATAGTCTAAGACTTCTCTCTGTCTGGAAATCTGCATCGTTAATCTTCACTCCCTCTCCCACGTTCTGTTTTCTGAGATGCTATTTATAAAACATGGTTAAAAAAATCTAAACAATAAGGCTATTTCTAAAAAGTGTAGTACTTCACAGGGGTAGTAAACTGTGCCCTGGATGGTCTGTAGCTGTTAGTGGTCTGTAGCAAACCGTGATTATGAACAATTTGGGGGTTTTGGCCCAGTCTGGGAATTAATTATTTTTCTTGGTGACGAGCAGCATCTTTCTAGAGCTGTAGTGTCATTTGCTATTGGGAATAAGACATAATCCATGAAGCTTCCGTCACTTTCAAAAGCAGATACGTCTATGGGAGACCCATAGTTCAGCTGCATAAACACCTGTAGTTCATCAGCTTTGCTCTCATTAAAGATTTGATGTGAATTGTTATAAAGAGGGTGATTGCAGGACATAAACACCTTTTGACTAGTTTAAAGAAATGCAAAATCCATTACTATTATAAAGATTTTTCAAGTAGAAAATTATTAAAAGGGCCTTAGAGGTGGCACTAGACAGCAAGTAATTGATCCACTTGCCTCTGTTGTGACAAGAAGCAGGTTGACCTAATAGTATAAAACAGGAGAGAGTACCCAGACAGAGCAGATCTAAGACTCAAGAATACTGTGTGCCCATACAAGTCATTTTACCTTTCTAAACAAAGAAAAACCATTTGGGAAAAGAGGATCGGGAAACACCCCCTTTTGGAGGTCTAATGTATGGAAAATACATGCCAGGACTATTCACTTTTCATGGGATGGTGGGTTGAGCGTCTCACACCAGCTCAGAATCCAGACCCAAGGAGAGTGTAGGCAGCTCCACTCAGTGAGTCAGAAGGCCTAGGATGACCAAGTGTGGTAGGTCAAGACATACATGTGGCCAAAGAAGGGGAGAAATGCAGGCACTTAAACTTAGGCATCTAGTGACATTTGAGTTGCCCTAGGTGACTTGTAGTTGTTTTCTGAACAGTTGTTCCAAGTCTTGTCTAATTAGCATCTCCTATCACTAGCCACAGTGTTCAGAAGCCTCCTCCATCAGAGGACTGGAAACAGGGAAGATAAGCTATATGGAGCAAAAGGGATGAAGCAGTATAATAAGCCTCTAGGACCCACTTGCAGCCAGCAAAGCACTGTGTAGTTACTGCCCAGCAAAAGACTTTTTTTTTCTTCAGCAAATCATAGAACCTAAAAAAATCCTGGTTTCCAGTTTTACTAGGGATCATTCAGATTATGTTCGTATCTGATATTGTTCCCTTTTCTAATGCAGGCCAAGAAGTTTAACTTGCCTATGCAACAGCCCCTTTTTTTTGTTTGTTTGTTTGGTTTTTTGTTTGTTTTTTGTTTTTTTTTTTTAAAGGGGACAGGACTTGTTATCACCTTTTATAAATGGGTTGAAGGCCTACAGACAAATAACATTGTAATCCTTAAGTGTTGAATGTTGTTATTGTCCCTGCTTTCAACTCACTTAAATTCACCTGATTGAGCTTTCTGCCTCTCTGCTCCTTGCTAGCCAGAACTTTGTGAGAGTGATCTAACTGTCCAGTGGTAATATAGGTTGGGTCTGAATGAAGGAATATTTTCCTCATAATGCCAAAAAGAAAATATACAAAATATTAAAACTTGACTTAGAAATATTGAGAAGGTTTGAAGGAATAAAGAAAATATACCCCCTCTCTCTTTTCCCCTTACTCTATTCATCCCTCAGCCAAACCTTAAAATAAAAGCAGTGCTTCCTTTTTTCTTTGCTGTTACTTGCAAAACTCAGTGGGTTTTTCTGTCTGAGGTAGACATAAATATCAATGAAGAATGCACAACAGTGACTGCAAATTCAGATACATTTCCTTCTGATCAATGTGAAGGAGTCATTTTTTTTCTCCATTACACACAAAACATTGCTCTCAATGTACTATGATTGTTGAGAAAAAAACAGTAGGTGTGAAGCAAGTAAAAATTATTTTGTTGTGGACATTTTAAAATGCCTGGGCAGAGCTGGATGGGCAATTGGATGCACTCAGTTGTCTACCCTACTCGTGTTGTTACTTTGCAAGGGGAGTATTTGCATGATTTGTTTTTTGAGCCTAACTTGGCCAACTAACTAGACAAGCTCAGTCCAACATCGATGGAGAATGATACCCTCTCCAGGGGGCAATTCTCAATGCCCAAGTCAGAGCTCCTACTATGAATCAATGTCTAAAAGAACTTTTCTCCTCCATTGGCTGTAGAGGGAGTGAATCTACAATCCCTTTGCAGGAGGAGTCCAGAGCAGTGACAGCGGAATCAGTAGTTACAAATGAGAAGGTGATGTTGCAATAAATTGGATTAGGACTAAGATGACGCTGTGAGCGTAACAGAAATGTGGTTACTGTTCTTCAGGTGGGTGAATTTATTTGCCTTCCCTTAATCATTGTTAGAAGGCTATGAAGGAAACTTAGAAATGCACACATTGAGATTATGATATCCAAAGAGAAATAATTAAAATGGATCAGTGATTTTGACCCACACCTCTTTCTGGTACCTCAGTGTGAAGGTTTACAATGCAGTATATTCACTTTAGTATTCCAGGCATTGCTCTAGCATCAGAACCACTTTTCAGATCAGCAAAACTGACCTTTTGGTGTAAAACCTTTGTTTTCTCAGTTAGCCCCATTTAATTTAGATTCCTTTTCAATAGAACGGTGGACTAATGATATTTGTTTACTTTAAGATGCTGCATGCAGGATTGCCTGAGCTAAACAGCATTCAGGATCTGAAGTATGTGTATGATAACCTCCGTCCTCAGGACTCAGACCTCCAGGCTACAAGCTACTTTACAAGGTAAAACCAGAATGTCATCCAGAAACCTTATCTCCTTCAGGCGTGAAGCAAAACTGTCGAATTAAAAAAAAAAAAAAAAAAAAAGCAAAAAAGTAGCTTTTTCTGTAATGTTAAGAAGTTGTAATCAGTGAAATTACACAAAAGGATAACTGGTCTTCACATGTTTACTTTTTAATTTCCATTCGTTATGCATGTTATAACCTATCGTCAATTTCTGGAAGAAACAATTGTGGATTTGTGGTACACTTGTACCAAGTCACTTATTCAGCACCTAGAGATTTCTCAGGCTTTCATGGTGAAACCATCCTGGCTTCCATCTAGTCGACTTTCCTCACTGATTTTACATGCAGCAGCATTTGGACTTCATAAAAAGGTTCAACTTGTTAATGAACTGAGTGAGGACCTGGAATTCCTGCATTTTAGACCCTTCTGCTCTTCTTTAGACCTTCTGTGTTGCCTCAGGCAAGTTACTTTCCCTCTGTTAGTCATAGTTTCTCCATCTGCAGAATGGTACTGATTCTTTCTTCTAAGCACTGAACAGATCTATCACAGAAAAGCATTATTTGTGAATATAGGTACATTTAAAGCTTGACTTACGTTAGGATAATGAAATCTTTCACTTATTTGTGATAATAACTGGGGATTATTGATGAAGAGATGTGTATAAAATCAGTTTGAAGCCCTCAGTCCCGATTTTTAGGTCAGGCCTCTGCATTACATATAATTCCAACTGTTGATGGGATGATGCTTTAGATGGAGCCAATGGAGACTGTCTGGATTTGGAAACACTTTCCTGTTCTAGGCACAATATGAGAAAAAATTTTCTCTGTCAGAGCCTGTCCTGGGCAGCACTATCATTTCCCAAAGAGTCTATGTATTCACGCACCCTGGACACCAGGTAGACATGCAAAGCCAGCCAAACTCTTCTGACTTCCTCCTCTGGTGCAAGTGCAGGGCACATATCCAGGTCACAGCACTGGACTCTGAGTGAAAGGCTCCTTTCAAATTCAGAGCCCTCCAGGACACTCCCATAAGGCAGCACAGTTCTCTGCATGGTGCAAACTGCCTTGAGGCAAGAGCAATTCCTCTACCCTTCAGTATAGCCAGAGGGCACATTGCAATGAACAAGCGAGATGAAAGTGTGGACTGGAGCAACTGAGCAGTCTCATTACTATTACAGAGGCCCATATGAAGATTTTGGGCAATTTGAATTGTGTTGTTTAGGGGAGATTTATTACTTTCTATAACTACCTTAAAGGAGGCTGTAGCGAGGTGGGTGTTGGCCTCTTCTCACGAATAACAAGTGATAGGACAAGAAGAAACGGCCTCAAGTTGCACCAGGGGAGGTTTAGATTGGACATTAGGAAAAATTTCTTCACCGAAAGGGCTGTCAAGCACTGGAACAGGCTGCCCAGGGAAGTGGTTGAGTCACCATCCCTGGAGGTATTCAAAAGGTGAGGAGATGTCACACTTAGGGACATGGTTTAGTGGTGGGCTTGGCAGTGCCAGGTTGATGACTGTACTCCATGATCTTGAAGGTGTTTTTCAGCCTAAGCAATTCTGTGATCCTGTGTGATTAGAATTGGAAACTGAGGCAGCAGGTTTGGAAAAGGCTGGAACAGAGACCTAGAGAGTTTAAGGAGACCCACGTTTGAAGAAAGAGGAACTTCTCAAAGAAAACTGTTGTTCCATTGCTTTACACGTAGCAAAACACTGAGTTCCTTTTCCTTTAACACTTGTTTTTTCATGTGCTTTCAGTCTTGCCCCTTAGCAAGATTGGTTTATTTTAAAATTTAATTACAGCTTCACATTTACCGTCAACTCCTACCTTATCCTTTCCTTTAAAATTTTACATATTCCCAAATTGCAGACTTATATTTCCACTTCAATAGGAAGTTTCTGTGCAGTTTCTAATTAAATTGTAAAAGTCTTGATTCTGTCAGATAGTTTGGGTGATTGGGCCTGTCTCTCATGGGTAAGAAACCCACTTCATTTAATTAGTGAAAAAAGGCTAGGATACACAGAACAAATAGGGAAATGTGAGTATTCAGAGTGAAAATTGCATTGGTGGTATGCAAAGCTCAGAGATAGTGCCCAATGCTCTTCTGAAAGTGGAAAGAATCAGTGTGCTTTTCAGTTGAGTAGGACTAAGGTTTTGGTTAGGGTTAGTATCACTGCAGTCTTGTTTAGCTGGAAGACAAAGGATGAAGGCTGGGTTTAGGACAGAGCTATAGCTCTGTCCTCTTTCTTGGACTTACGATGGTTGTGGTGTTTTGAGGGTTAGGGTGAAGGAAGTGAGGGACTTGTAATTTTTCTCAGCCAAAGCATGTAGAATAACAGCTGGCATTAGGAAGATGTGGCTCAACACTATTTTGGAAGTAAGAAGAGTTGGTGTGCCTTGTGGCCTGGTAGAGGTTAGTATCAGGATTAGGAAATCCTTTTCAGCTCAGAGAGACTATAGGTAGGACTCAGAGGCCAGCATGCCCATCTTCCCATTTGATTTCTTGTTAGGGTTGGCATTAAGGAAATGAAGGCCTTCAGAGTCGAAATGCCACTCAAGTCCTGCTTACCAAAAAAATTAGCATCACAGTGTGGATCTGTACAGTGCTGTGGACTCTGTTCTTATTCAAAACTATTTTCTGCTAAATTTTTTTTCCATGAACTCCAGAGCTATTGTTCCAATTTTCTTCAAAATGCTGAAGTGTAGGTTTGTTATTACCCATAGAGATCATTACAACATGTAGAAAAGTCAGATATCGCTAGAGTGCGTATTTTGTTCTTCGGTACTCTTAGAGTATGTTTGTATTATATATGCTGATTTGCAAGAAGAAAGTCTCTTGTCATTAGCTCATGAATTTCCATCGATCTCATTTTTCTTGGAGCTTTTTTTTTTTCTGTATTCTAATTTCTTTTTATGTTTGAACATGATTTGTGTTAACATTTCTACATGTTTAAACACAGGCAGAACATCAGGCTTCATGTCTAGTAGTATTTTGATTTCTGAAAAAAGTATCCAGGCACTTTTCAAAATAAAGACTTTGGGATGGCCTGATACCTGGATCCATGCAGAACTTACCCTTCTGTATAAGCATTTTCCAACCTGCCCCCAGGAATGTTAATATATTGAGATTTTGTGAGTTTTGCATTACCTACATCATCTTATGGTGGGTTGACCTCGTCTGGGTGCCAGGTGCCCACCAAAGCCATTCTATCACTCCCCTCCTCAGCTGGCAGGGGAGAGAAAATATAGCGAAAGGCTCGTGGGTCAAGATAAGGACAGGGAGAGATCACTCGCCAATTACTGTCATGAGCAAAACAGAATCAACTTGGGGAAATTAATTTAATTTATTGCCAATCAAATCAGAGTAGGGTATTAAGAAATAAAACCATATCTTAAAACACCTTCACCCCACCCTCCCTTCTCCCTGGTCTTAACTTCACTCCCAGTTTTCTCTGTCTCCTCCAGCCAAGTGGCGCAGGGGAGTGGGGAATCGGGTTTGTGGTCAGTTCATCATCTGTTGTCTCTGCTGCTCCTTCCTCCTCACACTTTTCCCCTGCTCCAGTGTCGGGTCCCTCCCTCAGGAGACAGTCATCCATGAACTTCTCCAACATGAGCCCTTCCCGTAGGCTGCAATTCTTCACAAACTGCTCCAGTATGGGTCTTTTCCATGGTGTCGGTCACAAGTCCTGCCAGCAAACTTGCTCCAGCGTGGGCTCCTCTCTCCATGGGTTCACAGGTCCTGCTAGGAGCCTACTCCAGCATGGGCTTCCCACAGGTTCACAGCCTCCTTTGGGTGCATCCCCCTGCTCTGCCATCGGGTCCTCCACAGGCTGCGGCTGGATATCTGCTCCACCGTTAACCTCCATGGCCTGCAGGGAACAGCCTGCCTCACCATCTTCTTCACCACAGACTACAGGGCAATCTCCTCCCCTCCTTCCTCACTGAACTTGGTGACTGCATTGTTATTTCTCTCACATATTCTCACTCCTTTCTTCTCTGGCTGCAATTGCTGTCGCACAGGGATTTTTTCCCCCTTTCTTAAATACGTTATCCCAGAGGTGCTGCCACCATTGCTGATGGGCTCAGCCTTTCCCAGCGGTGGGTCCGTCTTGGAGCCAGCTGTCACTGGCTCTATTGGACACAGGGAAAGCTTCTAGCAGCTTTACAGAAGCCACCCCTATAGTCCCCCTGCTACCAAAACCTTGCTGTGCAAACCCAATACACACCTTTATTCCTGTCCTTCAGAAAAAATCTTCCCTACCTCCTTGTTATACAAAATGTCCGTGTGAGCAAAAATCCAGTTACACACATCTCATGGTCACCCTGTAGCTTGTTCCTGTATCTATTTTTCAAGCTGTCCTTAGAAAGCCAAGGAAATTGAAAGTTCTGATTATTAGCATAACTTCCAGTAGCTCTCAAATCGTTTGCAATTTATAGCTCCTTTTTCTCCATGATTACTTCCAAAAACACTTTATTGTTTTTAGAAAGTTCTTTTCTAGACACGGAGTGTGGTCATTAGAATGTTAAACACTGCCAACAGAAAGTTATTTCTTGTTCTAAGTACAAGGTAGTTATTGTAATCTTTCAGATTCAATCATATAGTATATCTACTGAAAACTATGCTAGTGGAAATAGAAGAATGGTATTTCTCTGTATTTCTGTCAAAATAGGTTGCTTTTGGCAATTGTCTGAGTTTGGTTTGAGCAGTAATACTGACATTGCCTCTACTGTTGTTTAAAAACAACATGAAATGATGAACAATGTCACAAATATTCCTGGCAAAACAATGTTAATTTGTTCTTTGCTGTCACCTTTTTAGCCAACAGAATAATGCTACTGGAGTTTGGACTGTAACGTACTGACCTCTTTCAGGATTATAAAGTGTTCTGTGTTTTACCAAATTCCTTTGCTCTTGTTCTTGATTTAAGACATGTTCAACAATCTGTGGTCTCATTTGTGTGCTGTATTCTTCTTGCGTGGGGTCAGTTCACTCTTATGAGCAGCAGTGTTAAGCCCCACAGCTTACAGACTTCTGGAAGGGCGCAGCCTCAGATCGTGGATAAACAATGCGCCAATTGAGAGTTATACAAGAGTTTCTGTGTTTGCTTGTCAGTTCTGTGCACCTAGTGCCAAATGAAACATTGTTGTCTCTCCAGCATCTGCCCTGAACTCAGTTTGATCCTTGAAACTCAATTTGATCCTTTCCCCTCCCTTCTTTCCTCTTCCCCTGACAACACAGTTTTACCAGAAACTGAAAGTCCATCTTACCTTTAGATATAAATTTCCTCTTTGGTTTTCTGCAAATGTCTTCAAATGTCAGCATGGTGTGGCATGCTGCCTGACATTTTTAGTGTGTCTGTAAAGGGATGTATATTTGAAATTATTTTTAAGGTATTGAAGTTAGCCTAATGCAATGAATGGAGTTGATTTCAATTGATTGCAGTATGCAATCTAACCCACTCATAGAAACCCATGAATAAGAGATGCACGATGAATCTGACAATTACCAGTGAAGCACCGTTGCAGATCTTCAGCAGCCTGATTGAGGGGGTTGCTGCTTGGGTCAGCTGCCATCTTTACTTATTTTTTAACAGAGTCATTTTTTAGGTACCTGTCACTGCCCAGGTCAAGCATATCCACTCCAAATCACAAATGCCAGCTGTTGCAAAACCGGACAATTCACAGTAGCTCCTTTCAAAACATGACACTAATCTCAAACTGATCAGTCAAACTCTTTCTCAGCTGGCTGCAGGTATTCCAGCAAGAAATCTCCCAAACAGCTGAAACACCAGTGAAAACTCGTAACTTCTGAAAGGGCATAGACAAAACTGCAATACTAAACTTGCTTTCAGCAGTATTCAAGCAGTTTGTAAAGATGATCATATACGTGCTTCAAAGGAACAGAAGGCAGACTTCTTCTTTAATTTGTGTTGTTTGAAGCATTCATACTGCTGTACAAACCCCACATGCCACCAGCTCAGGGAAGAGGAATGTCCTTTGTCCTGGGGGAGGCACATAGGAGGGCTAGTGGGGAAACTAGACTGGAAGATGCTCTTCAGGAGAGTACCTGATATGCTCAGCCCGTGGGATCAGAGTTAGTCTGAAAGTAAACCTGGATTTTAAAGCCTAGCAAAATGAGGGGTGAAAAGAATATGATTATTGCTCATATACTATCACAGTGAGAAATAAGGTATTAAACCAAAGGGTTATCACTGCTGTACACAAAAAGAAAATCAACTGTCCATGAATAAATATTGTTGAAAATTAGAAAAGGTCTGTCCCTGAAAGCAGTAATATTCTGGAAAAGTTTGTTAAAAGCTGTTGGGGGCATACTACCCCAGTTGTTTTAAAATGGAGCCTGGTAAATTCATGGATGGAAAAGTTGGATATAAATGAAACACCAGCCTCATTAACATCTGAGAATCACACGAAGTTAAAGGTTGCTTATTATACTTTAAATTATTTTTGGGCCTAGATGAAAATGAGAATCAGGATGCCACCAGGAATGAGAAAGAAAATTATTCTGAAGTTTGGGGTAAATATTTCTTATTATGAGAACCAAAACTAATATCTGGATAACTAGTCAGTGATAGTGAGTGTCTGTACTCTTTAAAAGGCTGAGAAGAAAGGCTGGTGTGTCCAAAAAGATCTAAGTACCAGCCCTCAGAATACCTGTTCCATAAGACAAGTCTACTTCCTAAAAATCAAGGCAGCAACTATTACTAGTCACTCTTGAAGACGTTAGCCACTCTTTTCATCCACCTTTGTTTACACCATCAGTTTTACCTGATGTCTTAATTTGACAGCTCTGGAGAGAGACTTTGAGACAAATCTGAAATTCAAAATTTTAGGTGGAAAGCAGAAAGTCATTACTGTTCAATAATCCTAGATACTTAACTCAGTTTTTTAGAAGTAGGTCAGACACCAATCTGCATGGTAAACGGATATTGTCATGTGGAAATCTGCCTGAAAATTGTGTGTTAGCAATATTGTGGTTCACAATTAATGTTACTCTAGTTAACAACAGTTTCCTGTTTTCTTGTGATTAACCCGTGCTTTTGATGGCCTTCGTATAGCTCACTTCAGTTTCCCTGTCTATAGACCATTAGGCACTAATTCTCTAAGCAGCTTGGGCTACCAGAGCTCTGAAATAACTAAGACATTTTTTGTCATCTTTGTGAAGGCAGAGCCAGCTTTAGGCACAGACAAAGATGGTAGTGGCCTAGGGAGCAAGAGGTTCTCAGCAATGAATATCCATGACCTTACCAACTTCTTCGCCTACAGCTAAACTTAATGTGGCTGTAGAGAAGTGGGAGGGGTCTTGGAAAGTTCAAGGAGAAAGTTCCACCACTGATCCTTAGGATGAACTTTAAAAATGCTAGCAGAAAGGGGAATCAGATATCACAACGTGATAAGCTGGGTCAGTGACTTAATCCACACCAAAAATAGACTGCAAAATTAAAAAGAATAAGACACATGTCTGATGTACCCCACTGCTCCAGACATAGTTAGGAACCAGCTTTTGGGAAGCTGTGGGAAAGACGGTTTCCTTAAGCCAGTTTGCCCTTGAAGGAAAGTGCAGAGAACCGTAACTAGAGTTGTTATACCTTACTGTGAAGACACACTCTGAGTTGTCATCAGAATAGCAAAGAGGCCTTTTCAATTCTTTGTTGATAACACGACATAAGGATTGCCTAATGTTTTCTATTCTAACAGAGAGGACTGCACAGAGAGAAAACAGAATATCGAGAGAGGGAAAGAACAACATATACTTCTGGTTTTATTTTATTTTAAGTGTAATCATTTAAAATAACACACAGGGAAAATCTGCAACAATGACAACAAAAGCCTCTGTTTAGATTTAAAGTATGTGATTAGCAATCTGGGTGTTAAAAGCATTTTAGAAGCTTAATGGACCCATGGAAAGAACAACAAGCCGTTAAAATACTGAATAGTTTAAATAGTGGTATTTTGGTATCAGGTGTTCTGTGTAGCAATGATATCTCAATAAACAGTAGTTTATAAGCAGAGGCCTGCTTTCTGTGAATTAAAATGCACTGGTTTTAGCTGCTAAGTTAATATGCCTCATAGTAATATTGCAAATTCCCTAACTGCTTTGCTATAACATGACCCAGTTACAGATTCTATAACCTAAATCATGTCTTAGTGATTTAGGAAGTGTTTAAACTACACATCAAATTAAATACATAGGAGTTAAAAGGAAAGTTCACCACAGATGCAACCTAATTAATCAGCACTGAATTGATTTTGTACTAATATTTTGAAATGGGATTTGTTTTCTTGTTTCTGTTTGAGTGTTAATTTGTCTCATTTATTAAATAGTCTGTATGTATCTGTTTCTGGAGAATGTAATTAATGATTAAGATAATTAACTGAATCAATTCAGAGATACCTTTCCTTCTATTACATTAAGAAAAACATATACATCTTCTTTCCTCAGTTTAGTATGCCTAATTGCTGTGTGATAAATTCACGCCATATTTTGAAAGAAATTTCAGTTTTGGGGCGGACAAGCTGGGGAGCTATCTGCAGGTAGAATGTTCTTTTTGGTGTGGTTGCAACTATGAAGCTACAGACTTTCGCCAGAATGTCTGAGATCATGAAAATTAGGCTAATGCAATGAATGGAGTTGATTTCAATTGATTGCAATATGTAATCCAACCCACTCACAGAAACCCATGAATAAAATTTAATTTAAAATGACAGATGAAGCATTTGCTCAGCTTTGAACAGAGCAGAGGATGATGAAAGTGGTTAAGGGTATTGTCAGTCCTTGTAAGCTAGTTATAGTTCAAAACTGGAAGAAAACAAAAAACAAAAACCAAAACCCTGACAATTTGGTAGAGGTTTGCTGCCATATGGCCTGAAACTAGTGGATTGTTGTTCTATAACATAAGAACCTATCCAGAATGTCT